GCAGGAATGGATGGTTGTGCGTAATTGCGCTTGACTGCACACAAGTTCCTGTTTATTCTTGCTTACTCCAATCTTTCTGTTTTACGCTGAAATGTTTAGTTCTTTTCTTTTTACGGGTTAGTATTCATCACGCCCTGGCAGTAACAAAGTTTTGTAACTATGAACAGATCCCGTTGGTTACACTGAGCCCGGAGCTGCTGGACGAGGAGGACGACGAGGTGGAGACAGTGGAGGACTTCCTCTCCTTCTGCCTCAGGTGGATTTTAGTGTGTCTCTTCCTCTCGTCGCTCCGCGCGAACTTCCTGCCGCAGAAGTCGCAGGCGAAAGGCTTCTCTCCCGTGTGCGTGCGGATATGCGTGGTGAGGTGGTCGCTGCGGCTGAAGTTTCGCATACAAATCCGGCACTGGAACGGTTTGTGTCCGGTGTGGATGCGGATGTGTCTGGTCAGTTCGTCAGAGCGGGAGAATCGCCGGTCGCAGCCCTCCGCAGGACAGGGGTACGGACGCTCATGAATGGGCGTCTTGCTGGGTCTGTTCGGGTACTTCCTGGGTCGCAGGATCGGCCTCAGAGGTAGGTTCTGTGGGCTGTAGGCAGAGGGGAGCCTCGTTGTTCCTCCTTCAGAGCCGCTACCACCACCGGGACCCCCCAGTGTAAAGTTCCTGATAGTGTTCAGCGGGGTCAGGGGTGGAGGGACGCGGAAGGCATCGAGCGGACATGGGCCGAATGGTTTCCGATCTGGGACACCTGCCGTGTGCATGTCCCGCTGGCAAGCAGGCTGGAAGAAGCCCGAGTAATCGGGAATGATGGGGAATAACCCTGGCGCTTCTGAGCCACCGGGCTGCTTGGGTGAAGAGTAAGAGGGCGGCGGGTACGAGGCAATAGGGCAGGTGGAAGTGGACAAAAACGCCGAGGGGTCCTGGTACACCTCTCCGCAGCCAGAGGATGGGTAAGGTGGCGGGGGGGAATACAGGTGGTGATGGTGGTCTATCTCTGCCTGGTTCTGAGCCGCCATGGTGCAACTCAAATTTCCGCCGGAGAAGTGATTGGGAGATCCTGAAGAAGCCGGGGAGGAGGACGCCGAAGAGGAGGGAGGAGGAGGAGGCGGTGGCTGGGCCACGTTGAAGATGCCCGAGACGATGTTGATCACTCCCTCGGGGTTCCAGTTACCTGGATACTGGGAATCGATGGAGAACTTTCCCATGTAGGTGAAGGTCTGGTTGCGGTGGGACGCCGGCTGAGAGAAGCCGCTCGAGTAGGAGGAGAGGTCCAGAGAGCGCTTCTCTGCGCTCATATCTGCGCTCATCAAGCCATCTGCAGAAGATAATACACAAATCATTAGTGATGTAACATAAACACGACGAATTAACCTGATCACACTAGACAGGAAAGTTAGCATTAAGTAAGAGTCCTTTGTTTCATTCTTTTCATTCTAGTCTTATCATTTTGTTCCCTCAATAGGAACTTTTTAAAACTATAACAGTCAGAAAGTTATTTTATGAAGCAGTCTGTAAAAGGATGTGATGTTACATCCACAATATAAACAAGTCAATAAGTCAAGCAATAATAATAATGCCCTATATTTATTTTCTTTCTAGTAGGCTTCAAAAGAATCACGCAGCGTGTGCCTCTCACCTGCTGCCATATTAATCTGGTCGTAATGCGCTCCCAGATCGGTGCTGGGGAAGATAGTCACAGATGCTGGCAAGTTGGTGGCGATGTCATCCACTGAGTACACACTCTCAGCTACGGGATGCACGAACCCCCCGAGATTCACCGGCAACTTCTCCAAAGTTTTAGCCGTCATTGTATAGCAAAAAATAAAAACCGCGTCTGCTCGCTTCTCTCTTATTTTCCTCAAATATTATAACAGGTAACTGTGTAACCCAGCCGACTGTAGGTCACCACTGCATCTCTCTGTCTGTCACCGTGTGAGAGAGGATGTGCTCCGTATGTCTGCTGCGCTTCATGCGCTCTGGTGATAAAGCTGACACCTTGTAAAGTAACTCTTATTGAGAACGGGGGCCCTGGCACTTGTACGTATATATGGGGAACCTTTTGAACGCGCGCTCACGTCATTGCCCATATATGGGGTAGGAGGGGTGATGGAGCAGACAGGGCTGAGGCGCTGCCGATGCTGATTGGCTGAGAAGCTCCGTGACGATTTGAAAGGGAATCACTTGTCAGTGGAGTACCCGCCGCTCCAGGAGACATGAAACGGACTTTTTCCACTGGATTCTAAACAGCAGCAAACAACCATAAAAACTACACTCCAACAAAATATGCTACAGCGAGCTTACAGAGCTTTACTTCGTGGGCATTTCTTTTAAATATCATTCATTTTTTACAAGTAGGCTCCTCTCGTGTATCTTCTATCTAATCACCCTCTGGTATCAGAAGAGGAATTCCGGTTGAGCTTTTTAACCCATAAAAGGTTTAATCCGGTAAACATGGGACCACCCCCATGCTCCATATATGGTTTCGATTCCGGAATATGATCATCGGAAAGTGACGAGTTCTACCGAGCAGAGCGAGAGAGAGAAAGCAGCTCTGGCATAACCACAATCAAATGAGACGGACAGAAGAGCGGAATTTACTCCTTTGGGTGCGACAGTCTGCATGGGCTCGGAAACTTCTGTCATTCTGATTTGACTATGCTCTAGGAAAGAAAAGATTTGGTTTACTCAGGAGATAAATCTAGTCATTTAGAGATATTTATAGGGCTTAGTGAAAGGAAACATATTTATAGAAGTGGTGGTGGGCCATGTGAAATAAACACAGAGAAAAATAATGAAAGTTAAATCCAAAGGTGACATAAATACGGATGTATTTCAATTATTTCTGGCTTATTTTCAAACCCTTGAAGTCATTATCTACTGTGTTGTTTGATAAGGATATGACATTATGTACTGTAGTATTTCTACATGCTGCTATGAATTCTACCTTTCTTATAAATAACGTAATACCACTATTATTTTACAGACTTTGGTTATTGGTCCCAAAAGAATTGTGTGCCCTCCAGTGGCCTCCTTAAGAAGTGGGCCTCTCTCTCTCTCTCTCTCTCTCTCTCTCTCACACACACACACACACACACACACACACACGTTCTGCTCTGATCTTGTAAAGTCCCTCTGTAGGTGGACAAAAGTTACAGACAGAGTCAGAAAATATTGGGTGGAATACCGTTTCCATTTGTGTGTTTGTATGTGTTGCAGAGTTGAAGCAAACATTCACCACTCTCATGATTCAATCTAAATATAGCTTTGTCACTGACCTTAGGGTGCCAGACATTTTAAGACTGAAATGTTCAATGATAATGTCAGAGGACCCTTTTAATGACCCTGCTGCAACTGAAAATGACTATATGTTCAGTGGAATACTGCAAATTATCTTTCAGTGCTGAACATGTTGACATCAGGATGGCTAGTATAAAGCTAGCTGGAAATTGTTAAATTAACCAGCTACTGGATATTAGATGACAGACCAGATTAGAATGACAGATACACTCATACTCTCAGCTGTCAGGAAAGACAACATATTCCTTTCTCATCGATTTTAGGGAGGGTTGGACAAAAACCTGCTAAATGTATAACTTCCACATTGATATATTACATTACATATTCTTGACTATGGCATAATTCTGCCCCTCTGTAGTGGAAAAACAATAATTGTGAGCAGTCACATTGCAATGGTATATACACTATGTGTGATACAGACTCTGCATAAAGATGTTGTATTTGTCCTATGGAGAGGTGATTAAAGAATTTGGTTATGAGTAAAGAACATTTGTAAAATTGTTGACATTTAAGAAACTGTATAAGTTTTATGTGGCCAACATAATTGTTCCACCACATACTTCATGAATATATAAAGTATTAAAAAGTGATTATCTGCTTAAGTTTTTGGTTTGGGTTTAGTTTTGCCCTAAAACAATAATTTGAATTCATTAATCAACTATGCAAGGCCACTGACACATGATCTGACACACTGGAGCCAGAGAGCACTCTAATGTCGTGTCATGTTGGATCAGCATCTGGTGGAGATGGAGACATTGATAGAAACAAGCAGTGTTGAGCAAGTAGCAACAAGCAGTACTGGTCTGTCTTTTTGTTGTAGGTCTGCTATTGCAAATCAAACTTCCCCTTGAGGGACAATAATAATTTGACTCTGCTTAATGGAAGCTCCTTTCTGATTTAGGTTTTTGTTTTGCAGGGTTTACTACACTTGCTAATGGTGTGTCACTGTACTGTTTAAAGATCATCTTCACTGCTATAACTGACTGTGTTTCATTCATTTCTACCACTACAAGTACAAAAAATAATATATATAAAGGAATTGAATGAATTGCATTGATCAGTTGTGCCTCTAAAGCCTGCAGTTAAATATCTTCACCTCTAACATAGGCTGTGAGTAATGAAACAACTAATAAAATCGCTTTACACTGTCACACACTCTTCACATTAATCAACACACTGGTCAATACAGACTTTCAATAGTAGCTTTATCAATTTAACACAGGCCTGGATGCTACGTACGTGAGCTGGGCATGGTATGTGTTTAAACAGTCACATTCAGAAGCAGAGTGAACTTCTCTCTCTGCACTTAGTGCTTTGAACTAAATGTTAACACCAGCATGCTAACATGCTCACAATGGCAATGCTAACATGCCAATGTTTAGCAGGTATAATGTTTACCATGTTCACCATATTAGTTTAGAATGTTAGCATTCACTAGCATTAACATAGCATTACATATTCAACATCTATTAATTACTGTAGCATTAAATGAAAAGTAAAGCTGAGGCTGATGAGAATGTCATTAGTTTAGCAAGTATGTGGTCTTAAGTATCAGACAAATTTTGGCCAATGAAATTTCTATAGATGAAAGCATCATCCCAAGTGACCACAAATGGCGTTGTTGATATATTTCAGTGTGGAACAAAGTGGTGGATCAGTCAAATCACATTGCCATCTCATGCAGCCACTTCAGCTAAACATATTTAGAAATATATAAAAATGTTTTAATTTTTAGCAGTTTCAATAGAAACAAGACAGTCTTGTCCTGGTTATTTCTTGAAAACTCATAAAAGTCTGATGTGGTAATCTCATACAGCCAGCACACATAAGACCATTATGACATTGCTTACATTTGACATCAACACACATATTTGTAAGCAGTAACAACTTAGGGAAAATCCCTGTACTGTCCCTAAAATATAGCTCTTGTACTGTGGCTGATAATGTGCTTGTGGGTGTCCCTAGTTGCTCAAGACACACTAGCACTCATATATTACCACAGAGCTGACAGTGTACCTTTATAAAGTTGGAAATTCTACTTCCCGCAATTTAAAATGCAGTGGAATCCCTCTCAAAGTACAATTTGAAGTTGTGGACTCAGTGAAGATAAATATTTCTGACAATAGAGTATCATGGTTATCCTCCTTAACATACAGGCCAGTTCCCTTTCAAGTATTAGGCTATACCACTGGCACAAGTTCAGTATGAGAGTATATATATGTATACATACATATACATATATGTATATAAGTATTTCCTTGTCTGGTTAATCACCACAGAAAGGGAGACAAAGCCCACACTGGATACTGTTTGCTTTTGTAGCCCACATGCTTTCTCTGTGTGGGAGTACAGTAACTAGGTGTGTGCAGGCAAATGTATGTGTTTATATGTGTGAGTGGGGTGGTGAGATGATGAGTGTGCAACTGACAAAGTGAGAAAGTGAATATGGTTTAAATTTAAATCTGACCCAACTTCAAGTGACAGATCAAAACACACCAGTGGGTGCCCACACAAAATTGTATCCACTGATGACTTTTAATATCCATATAAGGAGAGGTGAAAGGCTTTTTAAGGACTTTCAATGCCCCATTTAAAAGTGTTATTAAATATCAGACAGTAGCCTCTCAGTATGATGGCTGTTCTTCCCAAACCATGGCATTTGATTTGAAGTGTTCATCCATGGCTTTAATAAATATATTTATCAGTTACGGCCTTCAAATATATTTCCTCATTTAAGGCAGGAATTTGTTTGAAGGTTTAATCAACGGCAAGGCAGGTGCCAGCCAGTCTGAAACATCCAGCTTGAGTGTCTGTTTATGGCCCCCCTGAAACAAGCCTAGATTTACCTTTTCAGCAGTTTCTTGTAACACAGCATGTAGTTTTATACTGAGTCTTATCATTTATAGTTATACAGTGAGTCTTATGCAAATACTTCTGTCGTAGAATGATAATTATGCAGCTTTTAATAAACAGCCTATTGTGTTATACAGATACTGTATTGTTCGAGTTTTACCAAATTGCATGCAAAAAAGTCCAGTACAAGGGACTTTAAAACACACACACATGCATGTGCGTACACTCTGGTACAGCGGCTCTCAATGTGTTGTAAGGGAACAAGAATAGAATATAACAATGAGAATAAAAATAAAAAGTAATGTCAATTCATTTATATAGCACATTTAAAAACAACAACCGCTGACCAAAGTGCTTTACAATAAGTTAAAACAAGACTAAAAACAAAAATGAACCTAATATATCCATCCATCCATCCATCCATCCATTTTCCTCCGCTTATCTGGGACCGGGTCGTGGGGGCAGCAGTCTAAGCAAAGATGCCCAGACTTCCCTCTCTCCAGACACTTCCTCCAGCTCCTCCGGGGAAA